CCCCTGAAAATTTCATTGAAATCGGGCAAGCCGTCTAGGAATGATAGCAATCCGAAAAAACACGTAAAGCCAAACAGAATTAATTTTTTTTTTGTTTTTGCAAAACGTGCAAAGATACACACATGAAATTTCTTATGTGCACCCTCCACACAGACCCGAATCACCCCTGAAAATTTCTTTGATATCGGGCAAGCCGTCTAGGAGGAGTATGCGAACAGGAAGTTTTGCCACTTAATTTTATATATATAGATCGCGGTACTGTGCGTCATAACGCATCGTCAAATTATGAATAAATTATTCCGTTGGCTATTTTTTAAAAGCAATGTGGGCGTAATTTACCGCCAGCTGCTAATAGCCACCTTTGCCAAAAGAAATAAAAATAAATATTACAAAATTCATTTTTTAACGATACTAAAATCACTAAATTGAAACTACATAGCATTTCAAACTGTTACGTTAAGCATTCGGATTGGCGATATCGCGCAAACGATCAAGCACTTTTTCGTTTGCACGAAGCTAGAATAATCATAATTGTTGCGTATCCGGGCCTATTGCATTGATGATGACGTTATATAATAGTTCATTTTTATGTCGGACGAGTAAAAGTATCAACATTAAAATCAATTCATCGTCGTCCCGGGCACAGCGGTCTATGTTGCTGGAGCAAAGCTCTGTTATGGCACCCATACCGTAGATATGCAATTTTCATAATTCATTACAAAATATTCGAACACTTCACCTCAATTGGCACCACCATCCTTCAGAGCAACGTAGACGCAATCACTGCCCTTGTACTTTTAAACCTAGTAGCACCTGGTAAAGCCAAAATATCTTATAAGAGGTCTCACATAATTTCGCCATTGTATACGACTTTACTATACAAAATCAGTTGTCAACGTATAAATTGCATTGCCTACAGCACATCCGTCCAGACAGTTCATCCAGCAAACCCAAATTTGAGAGATCATTTTACTGACTTCAACACAAACAGGAGCGATTGTCACCTTATAAATTAAGGGCATATATCGCACACCTAGATCTAAAGTGCGATCAACTCAAAACAAATTTTGGGCGATTTTTTTGCATAAATCAATTCATAGCACTTACATCCAATCAATGGACATATTTTTTCTTCATGATTATATACATTAACTAAAAAACGACTGTTATACCTGTTTTTGTACTAATTGCGTTTACTTTGTACGATCCACATGCAGTTAAATTCCCCTCTATGAATTTTAAGTTAGCTCACTTTAGATCTAGGTGTGCGATATGTTCTTGGAGACTCCTTTGCCAACAGCACAGCTGCTCTGGTGGTCAAGAGTTTAGTCAGCATACTCAATGGTGAGCGCCCAACGTGATGAATAGATTTTATTGAGCCACAATGCCATTATTTCTGCCTATAAGCGGTATATCTGAAAATTAGGAAATAAATATAAATTATCTATTAATAATATGAAACAAATATTTGTTTACAAAATTATCAGCTCTTCTGTTGTTGTTTGTTTGGTGTTTAATTAATGGGGTCAGAGACAAGATTGCCAGATCATTCACGATAAAGATACATTTCACAAACAATATATTTTTCACAAGATTTCAATCAAGTCAACAGATCTTCCTTTTTCAATTAACTCGTCCCAAATGCAACGGGTACTGCAATTTTATTGCCAACAGCACAAACCTCGACCACGTAGTCGAGGGGCCATTGCAATTCCTGAGAAAAAAGAAATTCACCAGTTGGAAAAACGTTAGAGAACGTGAAATAGAGTTGTACTGTTAAAGCTGGATTAAGTAGTAGCATTTTCAGCAGATAAGAGTTTATTGTTATTAACGGTGTAAAATAACATGTAAAACACTGAATTATAATAATGTGTATCAGTATCTTTAATAGTAGAGAATCATTTATTTTTTTTTTACACTTTTGTAACTTATTTCGGTCACTATTTCACAGTCATATCTTGTGCAACTCTCCCATAGTACGGTTGTTACTCCCTTTCATACCAGAGTAATTTTGTATACAACTCTCAATCAGATCCTTCTCATTATCAACTCTGATCAGATCCTACCCTCGAGTAGTACACAAAAAGGTTTAAATATTAATACATATACTGTTTATTATATAACCGTCATGTGCCATTCAGGAAAGTATGCGATGAAACAACATTTGAAGGGGTTAGAATCAAAAGGATCTAAGTAGGTCTGACATTGTTTTAAGTTAATTAAAGTTAAAGTTGGTTACTTATTGTAAATTCTGGGTAAAATCATTTGAAACGATCCTTGCCTAAATGAATGCAGGTTAATTAACGGGGCGGTGAAATAACACAAACGGCAATAACGCACTTTTAAATGGGAAATAATACCAAATTCTGAGTTTTGCTTTATTTCCAACAAAGATTGGAAATAAAACCAAATTTTGCCTTATTTCTCATTGCTTATTGATACTATTTGTAACAAAAACAGATAACTGACAGAAGGAAAAAGAAGTTTGTTTATTCCAAAAATACAATTAAACCAATATTTTTACTTACGTAAAGTCTAACAAAATATAGGGAAAGCGTCGTCTTTAATAACGGCTCGGCAAATTGGACATAGCGCTTTGGTATGAATTTTGTCTGCATGCTTTTTAATATGTTGAAAATATTGCTGGAAAACTTTAAAATCTTTGCATGGAACCATGGCGCAATAAACAGGTGAAGTAATAAAACAGCTTTCTCGCTTTATCTTCCGACATTCGGCTGCCTTATAGACAAAATTTAAAGGCAATTTTTCATATAAGGCAGTGTCAAAATCTTTTTTCTCTCTCTAATTACTTCACCTGGTATAATTCCGCACATGGCATGGAACAAACAAAAGTTGCCGTTCCTGTTCGCAGCATGTGTATAACACAGAGAATATTGTCTTCAGCTTTATCTTCGTTAAAATTTCTGCATAATTATCACTTGCTATATCCGACCTGTGGATTTCGTTTACGAAGACGGAGCGAACACGTGGTACGAAATAGTGATGAAAAAAAAAAAAAAAAAAATATATTATCTACTCTCAGACTTATAAATTTGAACGTATACTCGGTACAAGCGGCGGGTGGTATGAATGGCGTAATAAACAGGTGAAGTAATAAAACTGCTTTCTCGCTTTATTTTCTGACATTCGGCTGCCTTATAGTCACAATTTATAGGCAAAATTTCAAATAAAGCAGTGTCAAAATCTTTCTTTTCACGCTAATATTACTTCACCTGGTATAATTCCATCATGGGTGGGGTGCATGCAATAACACCATACGCAATAATTCCCATTACTTGGACATTAAAAAGCAATTTCAGAAGTGAACTAGTGTTATTTTATTATTTTTTTTTCTAAATGCTAATAATGCCACTAGTGCATAATTGCGAAATGAGGGGAGGGGGCCGGGGACGCGAGCGCGACGTTGAACACGGCGCGGCGCGGGGCGGCGCGCGAACGCGGACCGCCGCGACGCTGGGCACCTTCAAAATTTTATAATTACAAACCTGTCCATTTAACTTGTTCATGTACTACTTTTTGTTAAATGTAACTGGGTGACTACCTACATATGTGCACTATTTTGCTTTATTACTCAATTGTTTAAAAGTTGATCTTATTGCTCAAAGAGAAATGAAATAATTCATTTGGGAAATAACACAAATTTGCGTTATTGCCGTTTGTATTATTTCGACCCCCCTACCCTCCCCCCCTTAATTAACTAATTCAAAGAATGTTTACTCTTTGTACAAGAAACTATAAGTCGGAAATGAGTTTCTAGCCTGCGTGTTTTTAAAATCTAGTGAAACAGAGTGAAACAATTCTCAATTAAAAGAAAACAACGCCTCAGAAACTTGAAATGCACTGAAACTCACTCATTCTCTAATATACACTTACATATAATAAAATTGTAACAGGCCGAGGTCTATACATCATCTATATCTATATCTATACTAATTATATAAAGAGAAGTCCCTTTTTGTAACAGGTAATGTCGCGAGCCGCAGGTCCAATTTTCATGAAATTTTGTAAATAAATAGCCTTCAGCTTTTTTGATTTCGATGCTCCAAGAAATTGGCAAATCATATATTTGGTCAAATAACGCCTTTTACTTAATTTATGCAAGGAAACAAAACACAGCGATCTGACCAAACTATTAATTTAATTTTTAAAGCATACATAAATACATTTTTCATAACGCTTCGATATGCACATTTATTCAAAAGCTATCAAGTAGCTAACAATTCGTAAATACTTAAAAAAAAGGAGTGAGTACTACGTACTCATGAAATTTGATGTGTAAACATATGCGACTGGCAAAGCATAAAAAAACGTTTACATATATATATAATCGCAATCAAAGCTCGTTAGCTGTCAAATTGGTTCACTTGTTATTCACACAACTCGAGGAAAAGTTAAACCTCTTCTCTGCTATATTATGCTATTTAAATATATTTTAACTGAATATTTTATTAAAAATACCTTTACAAACCTCTTTTCCTTACTAGCGTCAATTTTTGTTTACTTTTACATTTGACATTCCTCAAAAAGTTATCAGTTTAATCTGGGATAATTTTATAATTATAATTTTGTATGCCTAATCTAATCTAATTACATATTAGCGAGTTAAGCTCGAAAATGTGGATAATCTTTTTATATGTAAAGCTATTCTTAGGCGATTCAATTACATACATACACATGTAGGTTAGGTTAGAAATTAAACATTAATTTCACTTAATTTTATTCATTTTGCTGATTTAATTTGTTTTTATTCATTTTCATTTTTAATTCTTTTAGTATATGAAATTTTCGGTATGATTGATAAAATATGATACTTTTATATACTTGTGACTCAAGGGCGTTAAAATATCTTGAAAACACCGCATCAATTACTGTTCTTGAGCTTATAGTTTGAGCATTTCTATTTGTTTATATTCCTAAATTTAGTTTTTCTTTTCGGAATGTAATCTGTGGTTCATGTAAATGAGAGCGATTTTTGGAGAGTTGTGTAGAGATTGAAGTTGCAAGATTTTACCCGATGCTTTTTTTGTTCCGTACGTGTTGCTGTTACTCACTTTTTACTCTCACTTCCGAGACTGATTTTGCTGTTTGACTTTTTCCAGGATTTAACACGAAAAGTATTGGATCAGAGCTATTATATCATCCATACATATGTATATTTTACATACATATATGCATGTATGTTCATCAGTTATCAACGGTCCCAGTTAAGATGAAAATAGACTACTAAACCTAATAGCCTAAAACCATCTACGAATATCAAAACCAGTTGCACCAAATGAGTTTATACATATTTTTGTATGTACATACAAACTTATGCATGTGCGGAGTTTGCATATTTTCAAATGTTGTGAGAGGGAGTAACAAAACAAAATTACTTTTAAGGCGCAGCGAAGCACGCCGGGTATTCGCTAGTTAGTTAATATTGCTGTACATATTTGTATAGTAGGGAGATTTTTTCAAATTATATAAATATACGTTATTTGAATATTGAAT